GCTGGGTTGAATTTCCGCCAGACATATTGTAAGGGTTGAGGCTAAATCATTAGTCTCATCTGACCAGAACACCTTTTTCCATGTGGCATCAGAACCTTCAAGGTGCATTTTGGCAAAACTCAGTGGTGACAGCATGTGGCCTTTCTTGAGGAGCAGCTTTTTTTCTTGCTCCCCTCCCATACAAGCCACATTTATGGAGGATTGGTGATCTTGGTGTCACATTCACACAATCACCACTCTTTGTCATCAATTCCTGACACGGCTTCAGAGTTGCTGGAGGCCTCTAGGTAGCCTCTCTGACCAGCTTCCTCCTGGTTCTTTCATCCAGTTTGGAGCGACGTCCTGATCCAGGGAGGGTCTGCGTTCTACCAAATACTGTCCACTTCTTAATAAGAGACTTCACTCTGCTTCTAAGCATTGATAAATCCGATACATTTTTTTTGTATCCATCTCCTGACTCGTGCCTGTCCACAATTTTATCCCGGTGACAGTGCCTTGTCACCCATAGCTGACTGTTTGCTTCAGTTGCACTACCAGGGACTGAAATGCTCCAGGAAAACTCTTTTTATGCTGAGCTAATCAAAATGACCACAGCTGAAAGTCAAATGGCTTTGTGTGCCATTGAGAAGGCGATAAGCTACACCTGATTAAGTTTACAAGTCATTTTTAGGAGGGGAGGTGAACTTTTTTCCAACTTAGTGATTCTGTTTTTGAATAAAACAAATACTGTATTTGTTTTATTTGTATTCATTTCAGGCTGCAAAGAAAAAGGTGATTCTTTTCTTTATCCACACACACACACCTCAGCATAAATGAGTACACTCCTTTTGAAAAGTAAGATTTAATCAGAATCTCAATGAACACAAGAACAATTTACAACATTTTGGCAAAACTGATTTATAGAACATTTGTTCGGCTCATTACATGACAGGAAGGTTAATAATATAACTTAAAGTACAAAATCTTCAGTTTTACTCAAATTAGTTGATGCAAAAATGAATCCACCCCACAACAAAAACTCCTCCATCTAGTATTTTGTATGGCCTCCATGATTTGTAAGGACGGCTCCAAGTCTTCTAGGCATGGAATGAAGAAGTTGGTGACATATTGCAAACATCGATCTTTTTCCATTCTTCAAGAACAACCTCTTGTAGAGCCTGGATGCTGGATGGAGAGTGATGCTCAACTTGTCGCTTCAGAATCCCCCATAGGCGTTGGATCGGGGTTCAGATCAGGAGACATACTTGGCCACTAAATCACTTTCATCCGGTTCTTCTTCAGAAATGCAACACTGGCCTTAAAAATTCTTTTTTTGGATCATTGTCATGTTGGAAAAGTGCACAATGACCGAGGGCACGGAGTGATGGTAGCATCTTCTCTTTCACTATAGAGCAGTACATCTGTGAATTCATGATACCATCAATGAAATGCAGCTCCCCGACACCAGCAGCACTCATGCAGCCCCACATAAGTACACTGCCACCACCATGTTTCACAGTAGGCGCAATGCATTTTTCTTTGTACTCCTCACCTTTGCGACGCCATACAGCTTTTAAGCCATCAGTTCCAAAAATATTTCTTTTGGTCTCATCACTCCAGAGTGCAGAGTCCCAGTAGTCTTCGTCTTTTTCAGCATGGGTCCTGGCAAATTCTAGGCGGGCTTTTTTTGTGCATGGGTTTTAGGAGAGGCTTCCTTCATGGATGACACCTATGCATGTCATGCATCTGCAGTGTACGCCGTATTGTGTCACGGGAAACAATCGCCCCAGTTTTTCTTTCTACTTCTGTAGCTAACAGCAGTAAACTTGCATGGTGATTTTCTTCAACCCTTCTCATCAGAAGACACTCCTGTCGAGATGTTAACTTCTGTGGACAGCCTGGATGACTCTGTGAGATGGTTGCATTTTCCGCTTTGTTAAGTTTTTGTATCACTTTTGCTACAGTAGTCTGACTGATAAGTAAAGCTTTGCTGATCTTCTTGCAGCCTTCACCTTTCTTGTGTAAAGAAATTATTTTCTTTCTCAGGCCTTGTGACATTTCCCTTCCACGTGGTGCCATTGCTGACATCATGAAATGGGAGGGGTTTTCTTTGTTAGGTAACACCATTTTATAATCAACTGTCTGCTGGACACCTGCTTAACGAATAAGGAGACTCACCTGGAGTTGAATTCTTGTTAATTAGGATTTTGTTGTCTAAAATTTAGCTCCTAAGACATTAATTGGGGTGTATTCATTTTTGCAACATGGCCTTGAATTAATTTGTTAGAAAAAATGCTTTGCAAATTAACAAATCTTATTTGCAATCATTGGTCCGCATTTGTGGGAGTATTTTGTAGTATAGTGTCCCGTAGAAAATAATGATTGTGAAAGGAAAGTAAAGGTTTTCTGACAAATCTGTTGGTCCATTCCTGGTTCTTGCACGCGGTACCTTAATGACTCATTGTGGCACGTGTGCACCATTGGGGGGCGCTGTCTCATCCTGGATCTTGTAGACAACACACTGATGACTCGTCATGGCATATGCACATCATCAAGGGCCGCCATCTCTTCCTGGTTCTACCAGACAGCACTTCTATGACTCATCATGGCACATGTGCAACATAAGGGAGGGCTGACTCCTCCTGGATCTTGTAGACAGCATCTTGATGACTGGTTGTGGCACATGTGCTATATTAGCGGGGTGCTGTCTCCTCCAGGTTCTTGCAGACAGCACCCTGATCGCTCGTCACAGTACATGCAAATCATTGGGAGAGGACTATCTCTTGCTGGTTTTTGCAGAAGGCACTTTGATGACTGGTTATGCACATGGGCATCATTAAGGAGGTGCTGTCTCTTCCTGGTTTTTGTAGACGGCATCTTGATGATTCTTTGTGGCTCATGTGTGACATCAGGGGGGCACTGTCTCTTCCTAGTTCTTACGGAAAGCACCCTCATGACTTGTCACAACACAGTTACATCATAAGAGAGCCAGCTGCAACAATCCAGAAGAGGCAATGGTCCACTGATTATGTAAGTAAAGAAGATGGAGGTGCAGAACCTCGCATACTGCAGATTTCAACAGGACAACATCTAACTCACTGGATTTGTAACTATGTATTTGAGGATAACCCAGCAAACAAGGTAAAAAGCATTAAGAAAAAAAAAAAAAAAAAAAACACTTTGAGATTAAGTTCCTCTTTAACTCACACACATATGATCAAAAGTTTGTTGACACCCAACTATTACCCCAGGACCTTCTGGACATATTCCAATACCACGGACATTAAAGCAGACCTTCCACCTGATTTTGCACTTTACATAATTCTACGATCTATTCCCCTCAAATCGACACAATTGCATGTAATTTTTACATTTTGTTTTTTATTTATTTTTGGAAATACCTTTTTTTGATCAAATCCCTCCAACATCAATACCCAACCTCACAAATGCTCTTTTGGTTGAATGCATTAGAAGAGGCGGCTGTATGTGGTTTTGCGCTGGAGGCTGCATAAAGCAACTGCATGTGCACTGACCTATGCTCTAGACCAGGGTTTCTCAACCAGGGTTCCATGGATCCCTAGTGTTCCTTCAGAGATTGTTGAGGGTTCTTTAAGCAATACGCTCCATAAAGACATGGTTTGATGATTTTGGTATGGAGGAACTTGAGTGTCCCTCACAGAACCCTGACCTCAACTCTACTGAGCATCTTTGGGGTGAATTGGAGCCATGTCTTCTCCTCCAACATCAATACCCATCCTCACAAATGCTCTTTTGGTTGAATGGACAGCAATACTCAAGGTCACATTTTAAAATAGTGTGAACCTTCCCAGAAGAGTGGAGGTTTTCACAACTGCAAAAATGGATTGGGGGGGGTAACTCCATCTAAATACCCAAAGTTTTAGAATGGATGTCAAGCTCAAAACAGGTGTGATTGGTGGGTGTCTGCAAACACCTAAGAATATATTCTTGTTTCTTGTAATACAGTAGGGCCTCTTGCACATGGCCGTACATTGTGCAGAGCATGCATATTGACATTCCTGGGACCTACTGTTGCTGTGTACAGCACCCCATTGAAATGCATTAGAAGAGATGGTGGCCGTACATGGTTCTGCACTGGGGCTTGCATAAAGCACCTGCATGTGCACTGATGTACACTCTAGAGCAGGGTCTCTCAACCAGGGTTCCATGGAATCTTAGGGTTCCTTCAGAGGTTGCTAGGGGCTTTTTGAGAAGGAACAATTTCTGCCACTCAGGTAAGTTCCCACTAACACCACTCATCTTTTTAGCTATCTGTAAGGGGGTAATGCCTCCTAATGACCACAAATGTAAGAAGCATTCTTCCCACTGACCATCACACTAATGTATCGTGAGTTGTAGATAGAGTAATTTTTAACAGGGGTTCCCCGAGACTGGAAAGTTATTTCAAGTGTTCCTTTGTGTTGAAAAGGTTGAGAAAGGCTGCTCTAGGTGCAGATATCAGTGCATATGTGGGTGCTTTACGTAAACACTTATGCTCAACTGCCTCCTGTTCTAATGCGTTTCAACTGGTGGCTGTAAGCGGCAGCAGCAAATTCCGTATGCAGGCTCTACACCAGCCTTTTCTCAACCTTTTTTAAATGGAGGAACCCTTGAAATATTGTTCTGGTCTCAGGGAACCCCTGATAAAAATGACTGTATCTACAGCTCACCGTACATTAGTTTAATGGTCAAGGAGAAGAATGCTACCTAAATTTGGGGTCAGTAGAAATAAGTCTCCTACAGATAGCTAAAAATATCTTTGGTTTCATTAGTGACTTATCTGAGTAGCAGAAATTGCCCCTTGCTCTGGAGGAACCCTAGGATCCCATGGTTGAGAAAGGCTGCTCTACACGCTGTCTGGCCCCTGGACAGCCACATGTATCAAGCCTAAAAGATAACCAAAGAAATTCTGCATCCCAAGACCTATATTTCCCCATAGCACTACATCAAACATCAAGCCCTGAACCCTGTGAGATTATAAATGGCAATTTGGTGTATCTCACCGGCAGCACATAAGCATTAATGATCGGTTTGTCCACCACATGTAGTGTCCACTCAATCTTGGCCACCTCAGGCACGTCACTGTTGCAGGCGATAAGATGTCGGACAAGCGTCTTAACCTGCTGATAAAGCTCGTCCTTCTCGGGAATCATCTCATCCTTAAACTCTTCAATCGCCTGCAAAAAGGTAACACGAGAGAGATAGGTGCAATCTGGAAATACACAGCTCAGCATTTTCCGGCCTTTAATCTCACTTCTATTTGAAAATTTCATATCTGGTCTCGGTTGGGAGCAGGCTGTGTCGCCAGCGCCTCTGAACTGGGGAGACCCTGAAAGGATATACACCACACAGCCCCCGTCAAAATCAGTTTATCATCGAAGAGAGGAAATTAAAATGGAGGACGGAGGGGATTTGCTGCCTTTGGGAAAAAGTGCTGAGAAAGGCAATGGATTTTTTTTTTCCCCATACAGACAAGAGAGAATGAAAGGAAATAACGGATTTTATTGTAGGAGATAATCAGCAGAGCTTTTCAGGATTTTTTATGGATGAGCTGGATGAGCTAAATTAAAAAAAGCATCGGGTGCAAAAGTACAAAACATCTATTTACCTTTACATCAGGGGATAGTTGGAGATTTCTTCTAGGAAAACAGCTTTGCACTAAAAATCATCAACATGCGCTACTCAATGGTCAACACATGATGATGGCAAGGCAACTCGAAAGTGAAATCTCTACTGTGAAAGAAAAAAAAAAAAACACACTCACTGGCCACTTCATTAGATACACCATCCTAGTACAGCCTGCAATGTTTTTGGTGTGAATGCAGCAAGGTAGTGGATACGTTTTTTTGCTGACCTTGGTACTTTGAGAGTTAAACAGGACCTGACCCATGGAAGTTGTGATCAAAAAGGGCAGGCCGTACCCTTTTTGTAAGACGAGCTTCAAACATACTTGTCAACATTCACCGTGGTCCCTCACCGCAGGCCTCATTTCTGCCCAAAAACCTCCCTAAACAATCAAGGGAACTAAGCACCTCTGTCATATGTGACACAGTGGGAACGTGACCTAAGTACCCCATTCACCTGGAGGACTGGAGTAAGGCCTGGCCAACTGTAGCAAAATGTTCCTTTAATATGGCAACCCTTAAATCCACCTACAAGGCACTCTTGAGGTGGTACTGGGTCCCTGCCCAGTTAGCCCATGTGAATCCTGAGTGTAGTGATAGATGCTTCAGGAATTGTTGCTAGCGAGGGGATCTATTGCACATCTGGTGGTCCTGCCTACGGCTGACTGGTTTCTGGTCCAAGGTCTTTGGCCTGTTACATACACTAATTTCATCTGCTGAATCGTAAGGATCCTACATTGGTCTATTACAATGCCCTTTTCTGGACCTTTTTACATTTCAACAAAAATTAGCATCCCACTTATTTCTGTCTGCTAAGTGGGCTATTGCTCTAGCATGGAAGGAACCATGAGTCCTGTTTCAGGGAGTAAAAGATCATATGACTGCCTTAAAGGATAATTTCACCTTTTGACAAAAAATTATAAGTGCACTTTTTTTTTACATTTATTATTTTTCTTTGTAGGAACCTGTAAAGCATTGTGCCAGCAATCAGCAGATCTCTGGCACCATGCAGGTCTCCAGCAGACCTGTCAGTATATCTGCTTGCCAGTACGGAGCCCCACACGGCCATGTTTTTTTTTTTCTGACAGCTAGTGGGAGAAGATCCCCCGCTAGCTGTCAAAGTGGGGGAGTGGGGGCCGGTCCTTTCGTAACAGGTTACACCCTGAATATGTGTATGAAAGGTGAACTTATCCTTTAATGGTAAATGAAAAAATGTCCAGTATTTTAAAAGACTCCCGTTTCAAATTCCTTAAAATCTGGGAACCTTGGATCAACTACTTCTTACCCTTCCTACATCCAACCACTTTAGGTAGTACTTGAGGTGGTCTTGAGACCCTGAAGGACTTTCCACCCCATATCCCTCCCCCCACCCCCACCTTACCTTTTCTTTCTTTCTGGTTCTTCTGCTTCTATAGAATGGATATGGGCTGAAAGTGCGCACTCTCAGGTTTAATTTGAGGGTATGTACATCCAAGTTGGAGGAAGGGTTTAGGAATTACAGATCTTAAGAGCAGCCCCCCCCCCCTTTTTCAAGGTACCAAAAACAATTGGACAATTAAATTAAAAGCTGTTTCATGGCCAGGTGTGGGCTACTCCATTATTTCTTCATCAATTAAGCAGGTAAAAGGTCTAGAGTTGATTCTAAGTGTGGTATTTGCATTTGGCATCTATTGCTGTGAACCCACATCATGCGTTCAAAGGACCTGTCCATGCAAGTGAAACAGGCCATTCTAAGGCTTCAGAAAATGAAACAAATCCATCAGAGAGATCGCAGCAACATTAGGAGTGGCCAAATCAACAGTTTGGTACATTCTGAGGAAAGAAGAACACACTGGTGAGCTCAGCAACATAAAAAGGCATGGATGTCCACAGAAGACAACGGTGGTGGATGATTGCAGGATCTTCTCTATGGTAAAGAAAAACCCATTCACAACATCCAGACAAGTGAAGGACACTCTCCAGGAGGTGGGAGTATCATTGTCAAAGTCTACAATCAAGAGAAGACTTCACGAGAGCAAATACAGAGGGTTCACCACAAGGGGCAAACCATTCATAAGCCTGAAGAATAGAAAAGCCAGATTAGACTTTGCCATCTAAAAAAGCCAGACCAGTTCTGGAAAAGCATTCTTTGGTCGGATGAAACTAAGATTAATCTGTACCAGAATGACGGAAAGAAAAAAAAGTGTGGAGAAGGCTTGGAGCAGCTCATGGTCCACAGCACACAACGTCATCTGTAAAACATGGTGGAGGCAGTGTAATGGCATGGGTATGCATGGCTTCCAGTGGCACTGGGTCATTGGTGTTTATTGATGATGTGACAGAAAGACAGAAGCAGCCGGATGAATCCTGCAGTGTTTAGAGATACAGTGGGGCAAAAAGGTATTTAGTCAGCCACCAATTGTGCAAGTTCTCCCACTTAAAAGGATGAGAGAGGCCTGTAATTGGCATCATAGGTAGACCTCAACTATGAGAGACAAAATGAGAAAAAAAAATCCAGACAATCACATTGGCTGATCTGGAAATAATTTATTTACAAATTATGGTGGAAAATAAGTCTTTGGTCACCTACAAACAAGCAAGATTTCTGGCTCTCACAGACCTGTACCTTCTTCTTTAAGAGGCTCCTCTGTCCTGCACTCATTACCTGTATCAATGGCACCTGTTTGAACTTGTTATCAGTATAAAAGACACCTGTCCACAACCTCAAACAGTCACACACCAAACTCCACTATGGTGAAGACCAAAGAGCTGTCGAAGGACACCAGAAACAAAATTGTAGACCTGCACCAGGCTGGGAAGACTGAATCTGCAATAGGCAAGCAGCTTGGTGTGAACAAATCAACTGTGGGAGCAATAATTAGAAAATGGAAGACATACAAGACCACTGATAATCTCCTTCGATCTGGGGCTCCATGCAAGATCTCACCCCATGGGGACAAAATGATCACAAGAACAGTGAGCAAAAATCCAGGACCACACGGGGGGGACCTAGTGAATGACCAGCAGAGAGCTGGAACCAACTTAACAAAGGCTACCATCAGTAACACACTACGCCGCCAGGAACTCAGATGCTGCAGTGCCAGACGTGTCCCCCTGCTTAAGCCAGTACATGTCCGGGTCCGTCTGAAGTTTGCTAGAGAGCATTTGGATGATCCAGAAGAGGATTGGGAGAATGTCATATGGTCAGATGAAACCAAAATAGAACTGTTTGGTAGAAACACAACTTGTCGTGTTTGGAGGAGAGAGAATACTGAGTTGCATCCAAAGAACACCATACCTACTGTGAAGCATGGGGGTGGCAACATCATGCTTTGGGGCTGTTTCTCCGCAAAGGGACCAGGACGACTGATCCATGTACAGGACAGAATGAATGGGGCCATGTATCGTGAGATTTTGAGTGCAAACTTCCTTCCATCAGCAAGGGCATTGAAGATGAAACATGGCTGGGTCTTCCAACATGACAATGATCCCAAACATACCACCCGGGCAACGATGGAGTGGCTTCTTTAGAAGCATTTCAAGGTCCTGGAGTGGCCTAGCCAGTCTCCAGATCTCAACCCCATAGAAAACCTTTGGAGGGAGTTGAAAGTCCATGTTGCCCAGCGACAGCCCCAAAACATCACTGCTCTAGAGGAGATCTGCATGGAGGATGGGCCAACATACCAGCAACAGTGTGTGCCAACCTTGTGAAGACTTACAGGAAACGTTTGACCTCTGTCATTGCCAACAAAGGATATATAACAAAGTATTGAGATGAACTTTTCATATTCACCAAATACTTATTTTCCACCATAATTTGCAAATAAATTCTTTCCAAATCAGCCAATGTGATTGCCTGGATTTTTTTTCTCATTTTGTCTGTCATAGTTGAGGTCTACCTATGATGCTAATTACAGGCCTCTCTCATCTTTGTAAGTGGGAGAACTTGCACAATTGGTGGCCGACTAAATACTTTTTTGCCCCACTGTATACTGTCAGCCCAGATTCAGCCAAATGCAGCAAAGGTGATTGGACGGCGCTTCACAGTACACATGGACAATGATCCAAAACACACTGCAAAAGCAACTCAGGAGCTTTTGAAGGAAAAGAAGTGGAATATTTTGAAATAGCCGAGTCAATGACCTGATCTCAACCCCATTGAGCATGCATTTCACTTGCTGAAGGCAAAAATAAAAGGCAGAAAGACCCACAAAGAAAAACTGAAGACAGCTGCAGTTAGAGCCTGGAAAAGGATCAGAAAGGAGGGAACCCAGTCTTTGGTAATGTCCATGGGTTCCAGACTTCAGGCAGTCATTGCCAGTAAAGGATTCTCAACAAAATATTAAAAATGAACATTTTATTTATGATTATATTCATTTGTCAAATTACATTTGAGCCCCTGAAAATGGGGGGACTGTGTATAAACATGGTTGATGGTTGCAGATCCTAACATTTGTACTTGATATTTATGTTCAACCCCTTGAATTAAAGCTGAAAGTCTGCACTTCAAATTCATTTGGATGGTTTCATTTTAATTTATTCTGGTGGCATACAGAGACAAAGTATGAAAATTG